TCCGAATATTAACACCACTTGTATGATAGTTGAACGTAAATGTAATCAGTAGAAGTTATGCTTTAAACAAACTACATCACGGTAGCATGACTTCAAGTCAACACTGCTAAGCTAACGGCGGCTAACGTTCAGAGTGTTTAGTAGTTTCGTTTAGCCACTTGTCTTATGTCGTAAAACAAGACGTGAAATATTTTAAGCTTGTGTTAACCACTTATCTTATTTCTGGCACCTAACCAAAAAATGCAAAAAAAACATTGAATTTGAGATGGGGGGAACCAGGAAGGGATACAATGCTACCAAATGTCCAGTTTTAAGACCGATTCCTGCAAAATTCTATTGACAATAACAGTTTAAACCATCCACTGTTGGCTTTGTGAAGTGTGAACTATGTAGCTTAGCTTGCTAACGTTAAAGCTATAAAGAAAGAAAGGTCAAAGTGAGTTAACAGAGAACATTCAGGCAGTTTAGCCCGTATGCCTGTTTTTATAAAACAGATTTGGGGATTAATTAAAAACTGGCTCTTTGGGGCATTCTAACTCACCAGTGGACACATCTGTGCTCGATTCATCATGTGTGTCATTGTCGTGTCCGTCCCTACCACCGTGTGTGTGAATCCCGGGTCGAGTCCTCAGGTGTCTCAGGGCCAGAGCCAGACTCTTGTCCAACCGCTCACACTCCTTCAACACACATACAATGAAATCATTTCATCTTCTCTGTGTCCCCTTTTTAATTCTGTTACATGTCTTACTTACAGACACAAAGCAAATTCATTCAAATCAATATCTACAAAATCTAAAATAATATAATAGTGAAAGTAATAGCATAAAAAGCCCAAAAGATTACATTTTAAATCAAATAAAAAAAGTCAACTTTTTAGAGCTTCTTGTCTTACCTGCTCATCATCCAATAGTAATGCTTCCTGTGGAGCTATGTTGTCAAGCAGGAAGTGGGCCATGTCGAGAGCCAAGTCCTGCACACAGCACGAAATTCACAATTCACAAGAAACATCACACAGACACACAACAATGCCATCCTTATTGGCACATCCTTAATTTGAGGACATTTATAACCACTTCAGTCAGTTTCATTTAACGTTTCAAAAGGTTTCATCAGCTGCTCTTGTCAACTAATGAGACATTCTTAAAAATTATGTAAAATATACATAATTAACCATTGTGGAACAGTATTGCCAATCAAAATGGGTTCTTGCAGCACAGAAATTAAAAAAATATGTTTGGGTTCCTTTTGGATATCTGACTTTTTACATGATAAATTCTGAAAAAGCACCACATATTTTCACAGAAAGACAGATTGAATTTATAGACTTATAGATATCGGATAAAAGTCAGCAAATATTTACATATCACATATTGTTATGAATTGTTACCTGTACGAAGCAGAAGGTCTCCTGAGAGCGCGAGTCCACTGCTCCATCAGGCTGAACCCAACATAACGTCACCAAGACCGGCTCACACACATTATGAGCTGCACGCACGCACGCACGCACGCACGCACACACACACACACACACACACACACACACACACACACACACACACACACACACACACACACACACACACACACACACACACACACACACACACACACACACACACACACACACACACAGTTCTGTTTTATTGGCAGCACAAGCAGCTGTTGACAGACAGAGGCAGTATCGACTACATGATGTGCTAACAGACAGAAAAAGGTGGGGCTACTGAGAGATAATGGCTTGTGTACTTGTGACCCAGCCTACAGGAGTCAAATCAGAGCAACCACTAACAGCCACTAACTTCCACATAAAACAAACCACATTGAGTGATCAGATGGCAATCTGAGGGAAAACATATTAAGGAAATGTAACATTTTTCATTCTCAAATAACCATTTTCTTCTGAAATGTGTTGCATTGTAGTTCTGTGCTGGTGCTAGTTTGGGCACAGTTGGTTCAGCTTGTTAAAGCTAATATTGGCTAATGATGCATATTTTTCCATTAATACATTTTAATAAACAATGTTTGGCAACATAAGGCCGTAAAAAAGGATTAGGAACAGATAGTGCTCGCAGTATGATAGCAGCAGAGATAATATGACACATTACACAGAGGGGGGGTCACAGTGCCTCTCCATGACAGTGGCTTTGTCGATGCTTTGGCTAAGTGTCAGGAAATTGTCGGAAATCATGCTATTAATTCAGAGATCATGTTATGACAAAGTAAAGACCCTTCTGATTTCTCTTATCAACTTGTCATGCATTTGTTTATTACAACACCAGAAAAACTCAAGGAAATACTAGTATTTTTCACTTGATTAATCAGGATTAATCACATATTATTACTCTCACTAACGCAATTAAATTATTTAACCGATTGTCAATTGATATGACTGCACATGGTGCCTTTAACAGGGCGTTCTTAGCAATGGGCTGCTACTGGGTAAAAACAGACCGCTGAATCTCGAATTGACCAATCAGAATCAACTACCATGTAATGGAAATAATTAATGACTGAGTCTGACCAGACGTATAAAGACCTGCTGTTAATCCTGATAACACATCCAAAACGGTGTCCTCATAAGCTGTAAATGTTTCAATGCAATCCATTAGTGAGGAACGTGTGTGTGCATCAAACAGAAGCTCTTTTAATCATACATGGGGAGAAACATCCACCCCCCCATCCTTTTCTTACAGCTACAGTAATTACTGCCAATGGGTTTTAAAGGACTTTGCCTAAACTTTTGGAGAGTTGGTCTTCCTACCACTAACCTGCTTAGTACTAGTAATAAAAATCTCCTGCGTAAGAGTAACTACACCCTGACTTAAACCCATCTCACGCTGCCACCTGGAGGTCTCTACATGCCCTGCCACACCTTGTGCTATTGTGAAATGCTACATCCCAGCTGGGTGTGGTCATAAACACAACATAGCACACCTACTAGTAATACAGGCAGAGGTGTGAAGTGACATTTTAAAATCATGCTGCAACTATTCAGAGCTTATTAAAAACTCCTGCTATCAATAACATCAAATGTCCACCAGATCCACTTCATATGAAGAGCAAGAGAAGCAGTGCATGATGGGAGTGCTGAAGTGAGTTGGACGGGGTCTGTATTTGGATAAAGAAAGAAAAAGTGAGTCCGACCAGTATGATGTGGATGGCTCACAAAGCCTTGACCAATATTTCAATCTAGACGATGTAGTTCTATAAGCTTGAAGCAAGATGGAGCAGTAGCT